TTTGATTTCCGATTTGCAGTTGGTTAATAGCAATATTTTTCAAGTGTGTGAAAGAGGATATAGTGTCCACACAGGGACCAAATGCCAGGAACAGAAAAGGAGGAAGGGCTCAGGGGTCGCTTCTTCTTCGTGGTTGTGACTAAGGCTGGTCCTGCCTTTGCATGTCTGAAACAACAGAACTGCAAGTTCACAGGCATCTGCTGCCTCTCTCATCCTTAGCTCCCTTCCTGTGCAGGGGAACCTGGTGTCTATGGTCCCTCTGGAAGCATCTCTCCTACACAGGACCGCGTGTAGAGATTTAATTTTCTTTTGCAGGTATTACTGACACCCCTCTCGGGATGATCCCCAAATCTTTTCATCTTCCCTGGCCTTGAGAAGAGCTTCCACGTTTAATAACTTTCTCTTGTTAGTATATCCTATTATTATACCAACCTGTGTGAATTATACATATGCAATTGTTTGGTATTTCAGTGTATAGCTTACTAATTACTGGAAAATTATAATCAGTTCCAACTGTCCTATGTTTCAATGACATACATATTATTAGTCTTTGTTTCTAGAGACTTAGACATGAGACTCACATCTAGATCACTCCTGCTTATCCTCTCTTGCCCTCTGGTATCACCCTTTACAAAATTGTAACCTCTTCTTTAATTATTATTGTTACACACACACACACACACACACACACACACACACGCACATATGTATATATAACTTACGGAGTTTGTTTAGTGATGCTTTATGTGCATGTCTCCAGAGTCGATCACAACATGCCTGTGATTGACTGATGGACAACTCGCTCTGGAATGCCACCGGGCTCTGAAACTGTCTGCTTCTAATGGCATTCGTCACACCTTTCTCCAGTCAGTTGGCCTCTGATGTCAATATCAGTATCTCCCGTTTCTCAGGCTCCCATAGTTGCCATGGTATTCAGCAACTTTGTCTTAGCTCTTACTCAATCTAACAAATAAGGTGGTTTCTACTCTCTTACTGAACTCCCTTGCACTAATGGTATCGCTGTATCTGACTTAACTCACAGGTGGATACTCTGCCCCTAGAGACACTAGGTCCTGCTGACAGTACATCACCAGGGAAATGGTGGCTTCTATGCAGCTCTTCTAGTCTACTTTAATTATCAAGATCTTTTCTGTATTTATTTTTGCACTGGAACACTTTTATTCTTTAAAGAAATATCATGAAGACTCCTATGGGGTATCAGAAAGCCAGTGATAAGCATTCTCTGTCTCAAGATGAGCTGAAGGTAGCACACTCCTTCTGACCAATCTCAGCTTTTAAGGTAAAAAACTCACGAGATGGAGAACGTGAGAGAACAGGATGGTTGAGATGGGGGAAGGACAGGGAGGGAGAACAAGGAAAGAGATATCTTGACTGATGGAGCCATTATGGCATTGCCAAGAATTTCGACACTAGAAAAATTCCCAGGAATCCACAAGGATGACCCCAGCTAAGACCTTAAGCAATTGGGGAAAGGGTGTCTGAACTGGTCCTGCCTTGTAGTCAGATTGATGACTATCTTAAATGTCATAGAACCTTCACCCAACAACTGATGGAGGCAGATGCAGAGATCCACAGTGAAGCACTGGACTGAGCTCCCAAAGTCCAGTCAAAGAGATGGACGAATGATAATATGAGCAAAGGGGTCAAGACCATGATGGGGATTCCCACAGAAACAGCTGACCTGAGCTAATGGGAGCTCATTTGCTCTGGACTGACAGTGGGAGGTACCAGCATAGGACCAAAATAGGCCCTCAGAATGTGAGTGACAGTGGTGTGGTGGGGGCAGACTGTGGGGCCACTGGCAACGAGACCAGAACTTATCCTTACTGCTTGTACTGGCTTTTTGGAACCCCTTCCCTTTGGAGGGACACCCTACTCGGCCTAGATAGAGTAGGGAAGGTCTTGGTTCTGCCTCAAGGCAAAGTGCTAGACTTGAATAACTTCCCATGGGAAGGAAACCTTACTCTCGCTGATGAGTGGGTGGGGGTGGGGGACAGGAAGGTGGAGGGAGCGGGAGGAGGGGAAGAAGTGGAAACTAGGACTGGTATGTAAAATGTTAAAAGATAGGTTTTCTTAAAATAAATTAATTTTAAAAAGACGCTCATGGAGGCCATCGGGAAGTAGAGATTAGTAGAACAGAACTAAGCACCAAGGAATAATTCTGTATTTTCTTCACAATTCTTTGAAAATTTTATTAGCTTGTGTTATTCTTCCAGTTTACCCACACAAATTCACAGAGGCATCAGTGCCAACTGTTTTCTGACTGAGTGGTGTTTGCACCAGTTTGAAGGCCTGAAGCTTCATTCATGCTTCTCTACCAAACTAAAGTTCGCTTTGCCTCGCTCCAGTTCCACCTCATCCGAAGGGATTTCGGCGTCATCTCAGAGTAGGACAATAGTTTTTCCTTCAAAATATTTTGAAGGATTTCTCTATTTGCCCTTAACCTTCACTCTCTTAAGTCTTTGTCTTTTCAGGTGTACATTCAACGTCTCCCACTTAGACAACAGACCAGCTAAAGGAAATGTCACGTCTCTTGATACTTCTGGTCCTCAGCGTCCTGTACGATACGCTGCCCACAGCAGTTGCTTTGCTGGTTATTTTGATGGCAGCACGCAGCAGAAAATAATTCCTATAGAGCCTTTGATCTTCCTCTCACTTGTATAAGCCTAAGCTAAAGAAATTTCTTATCCTTGGAAACACCTCGCACACAACACACAGACACACACAGCAGGACTTGTGAGGTTTGGGAACCTGTCAGTCACTCTGGCTCCAGCTGTAACTATTACTTTTCTCCTCCAGTTACCAGGAAAACAGCATCTATGAGTACCATTTATTAAATAATATTAAAAGTAGATTTAGGAAATGACAAGAGTTTAAGTGGGACATTCTCAGTTTAGATCACAAACAGTATAAGCTTTCAGTAAAGACACATAATTATCATATTCAAAAATTGTAAGAAACATACATTCCTATGTAAATTACATGATACCACTTTCCTTGCAGTGTGTGTTTTATGTGTATCATATATGTATATGTGAGTGCATATATGCATGTATATGTGAAATCAGAGATCAAATTTCTTTATTGCTCTCTACCTTATTATTATTTGAAAACATAATTATTGCATTTGCTGATTTATGTATTTATTTATTTGTGCATGCACATGTGTGTGTATGTGTGTATAGGCACATGCTTTCTATTGTGTACATATGTGGGAGTCAGAAGACAACATATGAGAGTTGGTTCTGTCCTTCCATAATGTGGGCCCCTGTGATTGAGCTCAGGTCTTTAGATTTGGTGGTGAGTACTCTTCCACACTGAGCCATCCTGATGGCCCTTCATCTTGCATTTTGAGATAGAATCTCTAAGTATTAGCAGGAGGTTACTGACTTGGCTAGCATAGCTAACCAGGAAGCTCTAAGAATCCTCCTGCCTCTGCCTCCCCAACGTTGAGATTCTAGGTACAAGCTGCTGCTGCAGACGTTTTGAAAATGTGTGCTCTGGATCTGAATTCAGAGCTTCATGCATTTACCATGGGAACCCTGACCACGGAACCACTTCCCTCGTCTTTCTCACTTCACTTCTAAACCTGTACAGTTCCCTAGAACGCTTTAAGGCCTTGGAAATTCTGGCCCATTCCACTTCTTCATCTGAATCTCTACCACCTGCTCCTGCCACTCACCACATCCTGGCCACTGCAGCAGGCTCTTGGTCTGGACTGCCACACTCCTGCCAAGTCCCTCACGCATATTGGCTTCCTGTGGACAACAACCTCTGCAGGATGGGCTTCGTGCTTCTTTCTTTCATCAATTCCCTTTGTCCCTTTGTCCTTTGAATTGCCCTCTGATTTCTAGAGAAACTTGAGCTCCTGAATTATATATTCCTAAATCCTCCATTGTGTGCAAATATGCACAACTGTGGAATAATTTTTGTGCTTATGGTCTTCACTCAACTATAAGTGCCACCATATCAGAATCTATACAAATACAATGCACTATAACCGTTCAATGCTCAGAATAAAGCCCAGTGCATAATACACTTAAACAATGGAACAAATGATAATTTCATGAATAATTGTCTGATACAACTTTCAGAGACCAAGTTGTCCTGTTATTCACAACCAGACCTTAATGCTTCTTGTTTTGGCCTGAGTGGATATGAACTACATTGTCTAGTTTGTGTTTCCCATGCATTCACACAGTCGGTTTTATAAAACAGTAAGAGCATTTATAAAAAGACAAGACCAAATAAACAATATGCAATGGAAATCTTTACTTGGTCTCAGAATAATGCAAAAAAATTAGTTTGTCTTATGCCGACAATAATAGAAATCTCATTAATTCTTTTCAACATTGTTATCTTTTAAAAATATCTATTCTTTGAGGTAAAAACCAAAACTAACCAAACAAAAACCGGAATGAAATGGTCTTATTGCTGTTAAGCATCCCCAGGGTTCGAAATCACGTGTGCATGATTGTCAGTGAATGAGGCCCACTTTCCCTAGAGATTCTGGCACCTAGAGATTCTGGCACCCAGACCTATGTCCCTGTCCTCTGGCTCCTGAGTTACCCTGCTGAGTCAGACAACTGAAGAACAAATTACAACTAACAGCAGAAAAGATTTTTCTGATGCAAAAACCTGACCTTTAAAAACCTCTGGCTTGAATATCTTTCTGTCAGGCTGAAGAAAATTGAGCATATTTGAACTGAACATTTGCACACAGTCTGTCTCCTATAGCTTCCATCACCATGGTTTGAGGTAGAATACAAAACTCAGTTGCTTTCTCCATCTCTAGTTCAGAATAAGCCATTAATTAAAAGGTAGAGAATAAATATTATGCGTTTGCTTTCCATTTTATAGCTACCCCAAGTGGTACAGTACAAGTGAATGTCATGCTTTGAGGGATGTTCAAGCACACACTGAGATCGCAGGCAGAACTGTATTTGGGTGCCATCAAGTCTTTCCTTTTAGCTACTGACCTGCACACTGCGAAATTATCAGAGCCATCATCACAGACATCAGTAGGCTTCTGAGAGGAGGTACTCACTCGGAGCCCCGAGCCAGCCACATGCTCGCCCCCCTCTGTAGCTGCCAGCATTTCAGAATCGGAATCAGTTTCTGCAAATCTTTTTGTAATGGTTTCTTTTTCCCTAAGTGTGTGCAAGAGCTGAGATTCTCTGGGGCAGCATCTGCCTTTACTCCCTGAAGGGCTCCCTGGGGGTTTCTTCTCCATGAACCCCCTTGGCTGGGGAGAGCTGCATCCTTGGTACTTTGTGACTTTTCCTCTACAGATGTTTAAAGAATGACTCTCACATTCCATCAGCTCTTGGTGCTGTTCACCTTTGGATCCCAGCTCAACAAGTTCGATTCTGTCAGGGGTGGAGGACCCAGCCAAGGTCCCACATGGCTTAATGTTACTTCTCCTTCTTCGAGACAGTCTGAATTTAACCTGAGCCCGTCTTTTTGCCTGAACCCAGTGACTCTCATCTGTGGATGAGGAATCTGATGTGTCCGTATTAAGTTCTCTCCACCTGGGACTTGAGATCTGGAGGTGAAAGTCCTTTCTTCTCCCCTTCACTTGCTCTTCTGAGTGCTCATACCTCTGAGAGACCCTCCTCCTCCTCCTAGGCTTCTGTTTTACTGCTTTCTGACCAGACTCCTTTCTAGCCTGGCTCAGCACCATGACAGGGCTGCCGTGCTCAAATGCATCTTCTGACATGTCATGCAAGATGGAAGATCTAGACAAGGAAGACACCAGGCAAAGGGTGGGAAATGGGAATGGACAGGAACATCATGGGAAGACAAAGAGAGAGAGAGAGAGAGAGAGAATGATGAAAATGACAGCATGGCCAGAAGTTGTTAACTAAAGATAGACTGAAGCAAAACTAAGTGGGGCTTGGGACATGAAATCCACAGACAAGACAAAATAGAAGCAAGAGCCACTGATTCTCAGAACACGAAACAAAACTACAACACACTACTCTAGGAAATATTAAATAGAATCATTTACCCAGGACTTACCTGCAGATGTCCTGAGTAGACGGACAGACAGACAACCTTGACTGGCTCCTGGGAGCTGTCCCTGTGGTTGGGCTGCTTGCCTGAAGAAACAAGTTAGACAATTTGGCATCTTGATTCAGGTAATACATGGTTGATATTTTTCTTTTTTTCCACATATTTAAAAAATTACAACAAATGTGGCTGCTGGTCATGTTGCTCATAATGCAGCTCATTGAATGTGGGAAGTCAGAGGGCTTGTTTTGCAAAAATAAAACTCATTTGAGGAAGTTGAAACAGCTGATGTGCTGTACAGCCCTGCTGTTGCTTCATTTGTGAGAGAGGAAGATGATTCCACAAGTTTCTATTCTTTTTACTATAAGCAGTGGAGTGGAATAGCTCAATTTGCCTGGGAAACAAATGAGTATTTAAAGGTCCCAATGAAGTCAAGGGCTACCATGTCAAGACGTAAGAAGAGTTGTGATAGGCTGGTCAGAGTGAATAATCAAATTGTCATCAGGTTGTTAGATATTATATTGAGTTAGCAAGATGACCCCATGAGATCATATATTGAAAACACCTTGTAATATTTAAAAGCCTGCAGCTACCATTGTTATGAATTCATTATTGGAGTAAACAAACCCATCTTTCAAAACTTTGTTAACCTTTCTTACATTTTTTTTCTTCCCTTCAATCACTAAGTTTGAGGCTAAGAGCCTGAAATAATTCAGATAGGTAACACACAGTTAAGTACATTTCACCAAATTCTTTCTTTTGAAATCCAACAGTTCTGGACTCCACTTGACTTCTTCGCACTGTTATGCATACTTCGGAAAATGCTGATGAACTAGAAGCATGGCTATACTGGTGAGTCACTATTGGACTTACACTGTGGCTTTATATAATCTTTATGATAATTTCACACATGGGAAATAATTGGCAGATTTGAGTTATTTAAAACCACTTCTGCATATTCAATTAGCACAATAAGTGTTTGTAGTAAACACTATAATTATTTCTAAGTACAGTTGAGGAAGCTGAGAAATTGAAGTAGCTCTTCATTAAGACATAGAGGAATGAACATTTAGATAAAAAAATCTAACTTTATTCTTCTATATTCTAATCACCAGAGATGCAGCCTCTCCCAAGAGAAACAAAGCTAATGTCAGGTCCACACTCTGGTGTGACTGACTCTGTCAGTAAAATACATGATTTCATCACTAAGAAAATAGCACTTAAGAGTAGAATAATTGCAAATTTCAAAATAATTCTCAAAACTCTTGTGTTAGAAATATGGAAATTGTCTCACACTAGTAATTGTGTGATTCAGAATATTCTAAGCTAAGAGGCAAGAGAAAAATTGTGTAAGTGTTCATAGTTAGCTGAAAACTGGCAGTCTAAGAAAGTGTACAATTTGATTTCTGAATAATCTTCTCTTTCCCTCTCTCTTTTTAAAAGGGACTCATGTGGTCTGTACTAACCTTTATTTTTCTGTAGAGCTGAGAATTACCTTTAATTTATGGTCTCCCTGTCTCCACCCTTCAAGTTCTTGGAGTATGCCACTACATTGAACTTCTGATCTCTGGATATTGCGTCCATGTTTCCTTCCATGATAAAGAGTCTTTATATACATGACTAAGTTAGGGGTTTTGATAAAGAGAGATTTTGTTGAAAATTCCCAGCAGGTTTAATGTAATCCTAGAACCCTATAAGAGGAAAGCAGTGGGGTTAAGGTAGAGAAAATGAAGGATTGAGATGTCAGAGAGGAGCCCTGCATTTGGGAAGGTAAAGGCTCTGAGCTAAGGAGTGCAAGTAGCTTGGAGATACTGGAAAGGGTTAGAAAATGTATCCCTCCTTCGTGTCTACAGAAGGAATGTGAGCTTGTCAACACCTTGATTTTATCCCAGTAGAATCTGTGTTTGGCTTTTGAGCACTAGCATCATAAGACAATAAATTGTGTATGACATCAACTAGTTTTTGTTGGTCTTATGCAAGTTAGAGACAAATTACATTTCTTCCATAGTTTGGCTAAAGTTAAATTGGGAATAGTTTGGCTAGCATTAAAAGGCAAGTGGAAGTCATTAAAGAAGAGAATGAGACATTTCAGGGAGATCAAACAGTGTGCAGAAAGGATAACATTATGAATGTGTTCTCAGCCTGATGCACATCTGTGGATTCTGGTTTATACATTTATATTATCTCATGAATATTGTCTCTTTTGATTTCCAAATATTTTTCAGTATCAACCCATGTTCTATGGTATTCATTATCTGCATCAAGATTCTTTTCAAGTTATTGTTTTTTTTTTTCAAAATAACACCGTTTTGAGCTGCCAAGATGGCTCAGTTGATCAAGGTGCTAGCTGTTAAGCCTGATGACCTGAAGTCAGTCCTCTGCAGCCACATGGTGGACAGAGCACCAGGCCCTCTAAGCTGTCCTCTCACCCCCACATCTGCACTCTGGTGTGGGCATTCCCGAAAAGGTAAATAAGAAAAGAAAAAAAAAAGGAGATAAATAATTTAAACCCACAAAATAGCATCTCTGTATTCTTTTAACAGGTACACAGTCAACATTTATAAACTTTTTCTATTCATTAAATAACAAGTTTCCTTACATTTCCATCTTATAATTCTCATATATCCATAGAGATTAGTAGAGAGCTCTGAGCAGACTAGGCACTGAGTGAAGATCATTTTTGAAGATTAATTCTTACTCACATTAACAAAATGAATGAGGCCCCAAGTGTGCTCAAATGGCTGTTGATATTATTATTGATATGAGCAGTGATAAGATGAGTACATGTCGCTCCGAAGCTGTGCACAGATGTTGAAAGAGGAGTAATAATAACAGACTCATTTTGTAACCTCGTGTGTGTGCACAAATACATGTTGTATTAAAAACATGTAGCTCTGGTAAGAAGGCCACTAATTAGTTACCAGCTGCTCAGTCCCAAAATAATCACACAGAAACTGTATTATTTAAATCACTGCTTGGCCCATTAGCTCTGGCTTCTTATTGGCTAACTCTTAATTTAACCCATTTCTAGTAATCTGTGTATCACCACGTGGCTGTGGCTTACAGGGTAAAGTTCCAGCATCTGTCTCCAGTGGGGCTACATGGCTTCTCTCTCATTTTGCCTCCTTCCTCTCAGCATTCAATTTAGTTTTCCCCACCTACCTCTACTCTACCCCATCACAGGCTCAAGACAGTTTCTTTATTCACCAATGGTATTCACAGCATACAGAGGGAATCCCACATCTCTTCCCCTTTTCTGTTTTTTTAAAAGCTTTATTTTTTGTTTTGTTTTTTAAATGTATTTATTATGTATACAATGTTCATGTCTGCCTGCCCACCAGAAGAGGGCACCAGATCTCACAGATGGTTGTGAGCCACCATGTGGTTGCTAGGAATTGAACACAGGACCTCTGGAAGAGCAGCCAGTGCTCTTAACCTCTGAGCCACCTCCCCAGCCCCCCTTTTCTGTTTAAATAAAAAGGAAGGCTTAATCTTTAACATAGTAAAATTACATATAACAAAACAGTTATCAAGCAAGAATTATAGTTACAATATTTATTTCTATTTTATCTTTTTATTATGACTAAGGAAAACTATATCTATTCTTCAACTTTGTCAAAAGCTCTAGAAGGATACAGTATTACTTAAGTTAACAGGGAGTGCACTGAAGCAACTTCAAAACTCTAGAATTGAAAGAGACATCTCACCATCTGGATAGTAACCCAAAGTTCTTTTGTATCATTGGGGCATCCATTTTCAGCCTACTGGCCCATAGTGTTTGGCAGACTTTTTACAAAGCGGGAAATTTCATCTCCTGTAGAATGTCTGGTAGACTCTTTTATGAAGCAGGAATCCCAAAGGATCATCTCACCTTTAGGCAAGCTTAGCAGTCTTTTTTTTTTTTTTTTGCAAGTCCTGCATGCCCAGTTCATTAAGCAGTCCAGGCAAGAGCAGTTTTTTGCCCAAATGGCTAACCAATGCCATAGGAAGCCTCTTTGATATACATCTTCTTTTTGAAGTAGATTGGGGCTTCCAGGAGCAGATGTGTCTCACTGTCATGAAAAGTCCTAAGTTCTTAACCATTTTAAATGCCATATTCTGTAGGTTTCTGAAAGATTTGAACAATACTTACCTAACTGAAATAAGCTAGAAAACCTAACTAACATGACTATAAGCTTGATTATTATAGATAATTATCTATTAACCTATATTTCTTATTTATATATTTGTTAAATGAGCTTCACAATTACAATATCTTAATCAAGATCATATATATGTATATATATATATATATAACACAAAATTAATCTTAAATTTGTATCAATAGCATATCCCCCTCTAAATGTAAAGAAATGTTTATAAACAATATTTGGGAATTTGGGCATAGTTCTCTAGACTACTTCCTGCTGTTTGGAAGTGCTGTTAATCAGATCTTTTATGATGTATCCTGTGTACTAGGTTCATCACAGTCAGCAGTTGGGCGAAGTAATTTTTTGAGGGTTGTTCAAGGCAACCTTTCATGGGGTTTTGATCCATCAAACCATATTAGTCTGGAAGCAATCCACAGGTTCTCATCCTCTGTGGAAACAAAAGAAGAACCTCTTTTTCAAAGCAACATATCCTCTAGACCCAAATTCTAAAGTCAAGATACCTTTATAGTATACATGCTAGTTTAGCTTAGCAGCCCATACAATGAAATGTCTCTCTGTGCTTATCTCCTTTACAGTCCAAAAAATTCAAAGACAGCACAATAATATACATAATTCAGACTCTCTGTGTATATTTCATCTTTATGTGACTTGTTTTTACTTTATTACTTTTTAATATTTATTTTATTATCTTTACTTTTTTAATATATGGTTGTCTATACTCTGTCTCTTTAAAGAATTTATTTTTAATAATTTATTTATTTTTTATAACTCTCTATACTCTTTTTCTTCTCTCTCACTCCACCTCCTTCCTCCCAGCATTCAGTTTAGTTTTCCCACATCACATAGCTTCCTTTTGTAGTTTGGGTCCACAGTGACACTGAATCAAGTAGTTTTTGTATCTTTAGCTCTTTACTATTTTGTTACTAGGAAATAGTCAATTTTCTATAAAGTACACTCAAATAGCTTAAGCTCCATGATCACCTGATTATCTTACTTAACAGAAGATAACACCTTCGTTCTTGAGCATCCCCTGAGCTCACCTACATGCTGACTGCTTCCCACCCCATGGTCTGTTCCTGTTTTCTTCTCTGCTCTTGGCATTCTTTGGTTCACTTCTTTCTTGACAGGAATTCAAAAATAACTGATAAGTTAATATTCCAGCGAGTAACTCCTAGATGAGAGTCAATGGATAAAAGCGTCTCCACTCTGCAGAAGGCTCAGTTCTAGGTCTTATCTTTTCTGTGTCTTGTTACTGCTGTCTTTTGATTGTTTGGTTTAGTTTACAAAATGCTGCCTAGAGCCCACTAAGAACAATTAAGTGAGACTGTTTCTGCAACCCACTAAGAGCATCTATGTGAGACTGTGTCTACAGTCTGCTAAGAGCATCTAGGTGAGACTTTGTATACAACCCACTATGAGCATCTATGTGAGAATGTGTCTATAGTCTGCTAAGAGCATCTAGGTGAGACTGTGTATACAACCCACTAAGAGCATCTAGGTGACACTGTGCCTACAGCCCACTAAGTATCTAGGTGACACTGTGCCTACAACCTACTAAGTATCTAGGTGACACTGTGCCTACAACCCACTAAGAGCATCTAGGTGAGACTGTGCCTACAATCCACTAAGAGCATCTAGGTGAGACTGTGCCTGCAGCCCACTAAGTATCTAGGTGACACTGTGCCTACAACCCACTAAGAGCATCTAGGTGAGACTGTGCCTACAGCCCACTAAGTATCTAGGTGACACTGTGCCTACAGTTCGCTAAGACCATCTAGGTGAGACTGAGGTTGTGATGACCTATTGACTCTTCTCATAGAAACTGAGACAAAATGACCTCTAGCTTATTTCGGTTTTGATTTATTTATTCAGGAAACATGAATTAATGGCCCATATAATATAACAGGAACTGTGATGCATTAGGAAACAACATCTAAAGGAATTTTGGTTTCAGGAAGATGTATTTTATATGTGATTTATAGAGACTGCTGACAGGCAGCCTGATGAGGGAGGATGGCTGCTGTAGAGTAGAGCAGAAGCTTTCAAGTTCCTAGGAGAGTCAATATTTAACCTAGTAAGGAATAACGAGAGTAAAATCGGAGGAGCTGTTCAGAGAAGGCTAAGAGTGGAGTGTGGAAAGTGCAGAAGTACGAATGTCAAGATAAAATGGAATATGCGTGATGCATAGGAAGATGTGCATTGTTAGATTGTATTCGTGTATGGATGTATGAATGTATGCATGTATATCTATCTTCTATTATTTAACTATTATTTATCTATCATCTTTTTATCTATTTGTCTACCAATGAATTATTTGGTGTTCATTTCTATCTCTATCTGTTGTCTGACTATCAAGTTATATGTCCCTTAGTTTGTACAAATTTGTATTGTGGACATGGTAGGTTATTAAACAGTGGTGTTAGAACATGATAAGGCGCTTGGAAACTGTAAAGTCCAGTCTACCTTATATATTGCACTAACTTAGGTGGATAAAAGATTTAAATATAAAAAAACCCACAAATATATGGAAATGAAACATAGTTATGTATATTTTTAATATTGTGGAATAAGTTATAGGAATATGAGAGGAGAAATAAGAAAACATATAAATATGAGGATTTAAAAAACAAAAGTTTCTAATTCACAACAAAGAAACACACAGTCAAATAGCAACATAGCCATAGGTGAAGCTCGCAGGGGATTTGTCTTATTTTATAATGCATATGTAGACAAACGGCTAATTTGCCTAAGTCAGAGATCTCTCACAAATCATGACATTAATTTCCATTGAGAACAATGAATAAGAGACACAGACAGGTAGTTAACACACAAGAACTACAGATAGCCAAGAATCTTGCTTATAATAATCTCAATTTCTTCAGGCAAACCAGCGCAAAGGGAGTTAACAGTGGTCTGCCCTGTCGCTGGTCATCAGTGTGTTCAAGAAGACGGAGCGTCTCGACCTGGTGCAGGTAAGATACGGAAAATCAGCCGGGTGTGGTGGTGTGGGTCTTTAGTCCCAGCACTTGGAAGGTAGAAGCAGGCAGATCTCAGGGAGTTTGAGGCCAGCCTGGTCTACAGTGTGAGTTCCAGGAGAGCCAGAGTTGCCACACAGAGAAACCCAGTCTTTAAAGATCGAACACTGCCATAAACCTTTGTAGTAATCTGGCATTTTAAAAGATTTTATTTTTATTTGTGTGTGTGTGTGGGGGTGCTGCTAGAGACTAGAGGAAAGCATCATGCCCACTGGATCTGGAGTTACAGGTGGTTGTGAGTTCCCTGATGTGGGTGATGGGAATCAAACTCAGGTCTCCTGAAAGAGGAACAAACACTGTTAATTCCCAAGCCACTTCTTCATTCCAATCCCATATTTTGACAACTTATTTGCAGGGCAATTGTTAAACTTTATTGAAATAGGAAATATCTTTATAATATAGAATAAGAATTCTATTCATCAAAATTAATTTTGCTAAAATACTCATCAAATTGTTCAAAGACAAATTTCTACAAGGGTGTTCACTTTATTTATAAAAGTAAGAAATTAGAAGTAACCCAGATGTTTAATTATTGGCTATGAATTATACAAGCTACTAAACAGAATCGTTTGTGGCGTACATATGCACACATACACTTATGCCAAATTTTCATACTAATCTTAATTTGTTTTCACTTTGGACTTTTCTTTTTGATATTCATTGTATATAGCACAGTGTTATATAAGGATGTTTAATTCAATTACATGGTATCCACTGAGCATGTTCTAGCCCATATCACCCTACTATATGCACACACTTTTGAATCTATTTTCAAGAGGAAGATTGCATTTCAAAATTGTGTGCAGTGCAATCTTGCTTGAGCTAACAGTGTTTTGTTGGTGTCCATTTGTAAACTCACATGAAAAGTCAGAAGGTAGAGAACTGGCCATTGGGAGTGCTCATCTCTGGGGTGGAATGTTATGGAAATCTTATTTTTTTAAAACATATGATTCTATAATTTAAAATTGCCAGTTTTAATAACAATAATTTTACATCATATTGACAATTATTTATGAATTTTTCTCTCCTTAATATTAAAGTGATTATCATTATTTTGGTTAATTATCCTCCTCTTCACTTAAATATAGTCACGATGCTAAGAAGAAGTAGAGCTAACATGATAACATGAATTTGTTGACCTTAGAGCTGTTTTGTAGAGATCCTGGAGCTATAATGAGATGCTAAGATATCAGGACATTTTATATTTATTCTCAAGAAGTAATGCTTGCCTTGATTAATGGAATCTGCCCTGTTTCCTTGAAGAAGGTATGCAGCAGCCACAGGCCTGTGGGTCTCAACCCCGGCTAAATTTGGAATTCTGGGGCAAATCTGAATATAATCTTAAATCTCTAAGGAATGAGATTCCAGCACAGGTGCAAAGATCAGTATTCTAAAGGCTCCACAGTGGCTCTGAAGCTCTTCTGGAGAGTGGGAAACAGGTGCGTGACTGGGGCAGTGCCTAGGGAAGACTCCCCAAAGTGTATCAGGAAGGCATCATGACCTGATCCTGAAGCTGACCCTCCTTTCCACGTTCCTGTAAGCTCAAGATTTCAAACAGCACAGCCGGTGGGAGGTACAAGCAGTTGGAATACATGGATCTAGCTTTGTTTGCTCCTAGACCAACAGGAGCAAAGAAATCCACTTAGCCTGTGATTAGGCGAGAGTGCTCACCTACATAAATAAGCAGGGATCACTGTAGGCCCATATTTCTAAATGATATGGCAGCCATGAAGCCATAGGCTCCACCTGAGGTGGTCACATAGCCCTGCAGACAGGCTGTCACTGCCTTAACAAAAGGTCAGGATGTTGTTGCTCCTTTCTTTGTAATTTGAAGGATGCCAGATAGAGATGTTAACTCAAGCCTATGTGACAACCAGCATACACAGCAGACAGGAAGATGCGGACGTGACCAAACGCCATTCACCTGGTTACCTAGGAGACAGAATGCTGGTGTATTTCCCACTCAGTTTATGTGTTGGTATAAAAGCTGTTTAGGGAATAAATGAGAGGAATTCTTCAGGATGTGAACTCAGGACTTCATGAGGGACCACTGAGAATCCCCTCCCGATAAAGCCATGTGAGTTGTGTCTTTATTCCCATGTCTCCTCGCCGGTCCAGAGAGAGTTTATGTTGGGGTCTGGTCAAGAAAAATAATTTATGGTCCGGGCTAGCACCAGACCCCGACAGATCACCATAGCTAAGGTAGTATAATTTTATTACAGGACTATGGAAAAGGTTATCTAGCCAAGAGGCCTGGCATTGCTGGTAAGAGGCAAAACCTGAAATAGGTTGGAAATTGAACCTAGCTTAACTGTAATTGGAAAACTGGTCACCAGCTCTCCAGCCAAGAACACTTAAGCATCCAGTCTGTTAAAAATCTGGAGGACAAAACTGTATCCAGAGGTTTCTACAAGATATTAAAGTTGAAAAGAAGAAATATTGAGGGATTTTTCATGACTAAATTGTGAGCTGGCAGGGACTGAAGGTTGTTTTTTTTTTTTTTTTAAACTTTTTATAATCAAGCATTTTTCACAGCAGCAGCATTTGGAGCTCAGGGTTTCAAGGTTGAAAATGAAGACCAAGATAATGTTTAAAAGTTCACATTTTCCTACCCAATTACAGAAAAATTACCTCGTGACATCCTGAAGGTTTTGTGTGATTCCTAAGAACCACTATGTAGTTTTGGAGCCTGTCCTGGAACTAGTTCTTGTAGCCCAGGTTGGCCTTGAACTCACAGAGATCCACGAGTGCTGGGATTAAAGGATTAAAGGATTTTAGCCTGCCCGGCTAAAGTTGCTTTTTAAAATTATTTGGGATTTTTGGCAGCAGGAGATAGAATGTTTCAAGGTCTCGGAACAACTTAAGGGAGTCAGGTTCCTTGCATCATGTGGGTCTCGGAATCACACTCAGGTCAACAGGCTTGTCTGTAGTGGCCTTCACCCGCTGAGTCATCTTACACTACCCTTTTCAAGACTGGGTCTCACTGTGTAGCCCTGGTTGCCCTGAAACTCACTACGGACACCCGGTTTGTGTTAAACTCACAGAACTCTGTCTTCCTGCTTCTGTCTCTTGAATGGTATAACACCACACTTGACTTGAAGTCAAGTTTTTTATTATTATTATTATTATTATTATTATTATTATTATTATTATTATTATATGGAGTTTAATGAAATTAATGTAAAGGGAGAAAACTGTGGAACATAAAGAGTAGGAAAGAGTGGCAGGTTGGTTGGTATTAACAAACCTTTGGTACATGTTATTTGCAAGGAATGGAGAAACTTTTAAGGGAAAACCAGATTTGCTTTGAGAAGTGGCATCACCAGGAGAGGGCCTCTAAGGATAAGACTAAACTCTTCTAGTAGGTCATAAACAGAATACACAGTGAGCAACAGGGAATCCTAGCACACATTTCCTATTGAAGCAATGAGTCAGATAGCCAAAGCAATAAACTCTTGCTGTTTTGATAAATGGTGAGCTGGTCATGAAATGGCCATGCATGTGAAACCACCTTCTAAATACTAGCATGCTACAGATATGTGCTAGCTAAACTTGGGATGTCACTCTTGCACCTCAAGTGGATGTCAGTTATTTATTTTCTGAGTCTACTTTCACCCACCTGTCCTTTCATAAGCCAGAGTAGGAGGGAGTTAATCCCAGCAGGGACAATGCTTAATGAAAGTAGACAGTGGGAGGCTGTGCATTACTGATTGAGCTAACACCAGGGGAAAACCTGAGAGACAATAGCTATTTCTTCGGAGAATTATTGGGATCATCAGAACCAGGTCTCCCTGAATTAACTCAAAATGTTCCTTTAAATTGATCAGCATGGCATTGTATCATAAGCTTTGTATTTCCTCACTTAGACTTCCTGAGACATTTCTCAAATGCTGTACCTGCAATCAAATTCTTGTCAAGTATATTCTTGTAAGTGAACCCTAAAATGAGAGACAATCGACGGGAATGAAGATGTAAATGATAGAATCGTGGGGACAGGCCACCTATAGAAGACTTACAAGGGATCTTTGCTGAGTGCTAATGGCACTTAGAGAGCTGTCACTCAACAGGCCCCAGGCTGGGTGAGATTTGGGTGGAAAGGGAAGCACGGAGCGGTTCTGTGTTTGCAGAGGAAAGGTCAATGAGAATTAGTTGTTCCCAGGCTTTGGCAACTGCCCTGGAAATGTCTCTTAAAGAGAAGGGCAAATTCAGCTAAGCCAGCTATCAAAACTGCCAAAGCCTGCATACAATCATGCCTCTAAGTATCGATATGTAGTTGCTAGGTAACCTTAATAGACAGAGGCTAAGATGGAGAATAAATATATCAGCTCCGGTCTTTCAATCTTGAAGTCATCCTTAGGTGGTTTCCCTGACGCAAACTCTGCTGCCACACGTATGTCTCTACATGAGGTATTCTATTAATTTCTGCTGTTATTAATTCTCTTAAAGATACAGTCTCATAGCTCAGGCTTTCTTTACTTTAATAATATCTAGAATTCCGGACTCCGCTGCTCTGAAGAGCTGGGGTTACAGTTGTGTGCCTGGTTTTATCCAGTGCAAAAGTTTGAACTCAGGACTTCATGTACGCTAGGCAAGCACTCTATCAGCTGAGCTATAGTCCCAGTCCATTGGCTTATGATCTGTTTCTGCCTATCCACCTTTTCCCTCTCTCTCATTCCTGTTGACTAGGGTTATTTCTCAAACACATTACTTGCAAAGACACTTGTATTAGACTCTGCTTTTGTGAGAACATAAACACAATGTCAGTGGACTAGGGCAGCTGTGTTGGCCAGCAGTGGGCTGATGGATCTCCAGGACAGTGCATGAGTTACATAGTAGGAGAATAAGTTGGCTGATGGCTGACATTTTCATATTTCTTTTTATGAACCGTTCTCATTCACCATGTGCCTAGTGTGTTCAGTCTGGTGTTCAATCTCTGT